ATCTTTGAGCTCCACCACAGCACTCCTACAGACCATGTCATCCAACATAGCACGCCCTGGTTGACACCATGGAGTGGGCGGCACGTCGGAGTGACGTTGGGCGCATCGCCGCCGTCACTTCTGTTGATCTAAGCCGTACCTCTAATGGTGTCAACTATGGCGTCCTTCTGACAAAGCTGCAGCGATATGACATTGATCTGAAGTGGTTTGAGAGCTACCTTGTTGGTTGGCGGCAGGTGGTGAGAGGCGGCCTTCTCACCCTTCCGTTGACTCACGACATCCATCAAGGGTCCTTGTTCAGCCCTATCCTCTTCAGCATTTTAACGATCGACCTTCCGTCTAACCTTGCTCGCGGACGTCTAGTGGCCTATGTCGATGATATCCAAATGCTAGACTCCGCTCCTCCAGACCAACTATCAGTTTTGAAATCTCGACAGGAAGATAGCTTTCAAAAAGTACAGTCCTACTTCACATCTAACTTGCTTAAAGTGAATCACACAAAAACAGCTCTCCTTCTTGGCACTCCATAATCGCTGAAGAAAACCTCATCTTTCAACCTTGGAATTGCAGGACACAACTTTGTAGTCCGTGGAGACGCTGGGGGTTACTATTGAAAGTACTCTTTCCCGAGAGATGCGCATATCCCGTGTTGTCAAAAGGTGCAACCGCATCATTTTCTGCTTGTAAAAAATCGCCACCACTATACACCCGAAGTTCGTAAACTTGTCAGTCCAAGGGATGATAAACTTTGGAGGCAGGATCGTCACCGATGCTCGTCGGCGAGACTCAACGGCAGCGACTGTTCGAGCGCTGGGCTTGTGCAGTGTAAGTGACCTTGTCAACCACCGTGACGGCCTCGCTGTTTCTAGGGCCCACAATGACTCGCGGGCTCCAGTGGCGATCCGGCCCCTGTTCACCCGACGTACCGCTGTCACTCCGCGTACCGCTGTCACCCCACGTACCGCTGTCATCACACGTACCGCTGTCACTCCACGTGCCGCTGCCACTCCACGTGCCGCTGTCATTCCGCGTACCGCTGTCACTCCACGTACCGCTGTCACCGCACGTACCGTTGCTACTCCACGTACTGATGTCACCGCACGTATCGCTGTCACCCCGCGTACCGCCACCCAGGCGGGAGCTGCGGGCGCTCTTGATCTGACAACTCGTTGCCTGTTGGTGTCAAACAGGGCTTTTTTGTATGGCGTGGTCTTATCCTGAAACCGCCTGCCACCGACCATCACCGACCATCACCGACCACCATCGACCATCACCGACCATCACCGATCATCACCGATCATCACCGACCGACACCAACCATCACCGACCGTCACCGACCGTCACCGACCATCACCGACCGTCACCGACCATCACCGACCATCACCGACCGACACCAACCATCACCGACCATCACCGACCGTCACCGACCGTCACCGACCGTCACCGACCATCACCGACCATCGCCGACCATCACCGCCTCTCGCACCCACGAGAAGCTTCACATCAGACTAGACGATACAGACGGCTCCCAGAGTGTAATCGTTGCTTGCCATTGTGTAACATGTTTTGATGATTTAGATTTTGATTAATGACTGTTTTTTACAAAGCTGTGTGAACGACAGAATGGATGTGGTCGCATGTTTGGCAGTGTCTTTTGGATTAGATCTCTTGCTGCCGTTCTCCTCTGCTTGTGAGTTTACTGCAAGGGCTTGACAGTGGTGGCTCGAAAACGCTGTGGTCGGTTGTTGTCATATTTTCACATTGCACTCATACTAGTATTGCAGTCGTACCGAATCAAACAGTAAGCCGCTTGTTGGAATAATTTGTGAATAGAATAGAAATAAACATGAACATATTTTCTAACATTGAACTGATAACCCAACACTCTGCAATTCAAGCATGAAAAACATCCAATCGTTCCATTAGTTTAGTGAACAGCAGTTGGTTAAAGATGGTTAATGCTATTGCCGTCGTGACTGGGGGTCCCCGTTCTAGAGTAGGCGGTACAAATGGCATGGCTCTTTCGGAATCCCATGCAATAGGTGTCAAACAGCACTGAAACTGGGAATCTGTCGGTGATCTGTCTGAGTCACTGTCGCTGATGTTTAATAGCGTTTAGTTGACACGGTTTTAGGCGAGGTTCCTACTTCCTCTTCCTGCTTGGTTCTAGCTGCTGCTGGCTTTTCAAAATGGCTGCCAGCTAGGTCCGGCAAAAGTGGAAGAAATGTCCGAACAGCAACAGTTGAGAAATACCTCTGATCCGTTGTTAACACAATAGTTGAGCATGCGATTATCAGACAAAAGGATTTTCATTTGTGCCGTCTACCAGCCTTAAGCTCTTTCCGTATCGATTAGCACAAAACAGCACACATGCAACAGTGCTCACGGAATGCATTGGTCGACCCTTTGTTCTTGATTGTGTCGTCTCGGTGCAGTTTAAGGTTAGGCCGTTTATCAGTGATGTCATCACAACGAATTATCAGGAAGCGACAGCGGAAGCGTGCGTTCGATTTTCAATGTGAATTCAAAAGGCAAATTTTGTACAGGAGCTTCTGGATAATCGGACGCGGCTGTACAGAGGCAATGGCAGTGGGTGGTTGATGAGGTGCCTCTGAGCCTGAGTGGTCCTTTCGTCACAACTTCTGGGCCATACAACGATTGTTCCGTTTAAAACTTCGGTCGACAGGTAACTGGCGAGCTGTTTCTGTACGCATATCGAGTAATAACGTTGCAGGTAAACGTCTTCCAAACATCAATCTGCGTACTGCGGCCGGGAGTTGGCCTTACATGACCGGGCTACGTGCCTGAGCAATAGAACTTCGTTACAGAAATCAGGTATTATCGAAGATTGCCGGAGATAGTCCTCGGCGAGCGCGCGTGGCTAACTGTACCATACGGAGCCGTCACGAAAGCTGGCCCATTCTGACCGGCCCGCTCTGCCGGCGGTCGTGACCTTGTCTGACGCCCAGCCGCGGCGTGACCTTGCGGCGCCCCGCTGTTGATCCGCAAGGCACGTCTCGCATGTTCCGCGTGCCGTCTGACGCCAGCTGTCGTGTTCAAAGGAATTCCAACGTGCCGTGATCGATGGCCATGATTGGACGTCTGTCTCAATGTCTGAAACGTGTCGCCGTCTCTGACACACTGGCAATGTCTTAAGCGATTGAACATGGCAGTGGCGTACTGATGGCTAGGCGACGGCTTGACAGGCATTTGATTGGCGGCATCCTTGCCGGCACAATGCAAATGCTATGCTGTCATTAATCTCACTTGCTGCAGCACAAAGGCGTCTTTGGGCGATCGTTCAATGTCGTCAGGGAGTGCACCTGTAATAGTTCCTGTAGTCTCTCCTGAGGTCATTTAAGCTGTTTTCCGTTCTGTGCATTGTGCCGTGTTTCCGAGAAGCTCGTGCTCGTACTCAGGTGTGCGTTTCCGTGAAGCTCGTGCTCGTGCTCAGGTGTGCGCTTCCGTGAAGCTCGTGCTCGTGCTCAGGTGTGCGTTTCTGTGAAGCTCGTGCTCGTGCTCAGGTGTGCGCTTCCGTGAAGCTCTTGCTCGTGCTCAGGTGTGTGTTTCCGTGAAGCTCGTGCTCGTGCTCAGGTGTGCGTTTCCGTGAAGCTCGTGCTCGTGCTCAGGTGTGCGTTTCCGAGAAGCTCGTCCTTGTGCTCAGGTGTGCGTTTCCGTGAAGCTCGTGCTCGTGCTCGGGTGTTACGAATTCCCAACTTTGTAATGGCTGGCATTCCTGCCTTTGTGCGCTTGTATATGATGTACTTTCCGCTTAGATTTTCATTTGGGTTGCATTGGCACCACGAATGTTGCATTTGCTCTCAAAATGGCGTCTTGTACACGCAGTGTAATCTTTCAATGTAAATTATCGCTTCAACTGGTCCACGGCCGCCGAAAGCCCATAATTACTGCTACAAACATAAGTTTAATCTTTTAAGTTCTATTCCAAACATTTTGCAACAGAAATTACACGCTATTTTGAGGTGTCTCATATATTCATCAGGTGGCAAGGTGGAGCGCACCGGCTTAGTAAAAGCCTTTTTGTTCCGTATTTTGTTGTATTATTGGCATCTCATGTTCCAGAACATATTTGTTTTACCCTCACCCCAAACCCCCACCCTTTCTATGGACACCAATACGTACAGTCATTAAAATTGCCCCTCCCCCTCCTAGACTGTAATTAGTTAATGTGCTTTCTTCCGCTGGCCGTCCGACGCCGACATGGGACGCTGGATCGGCTGTCGGCAGCCTGTGCTGGTGAGGGGGCGACTCCCGTCACCGCGGTGTCAGGTGATGGGTACTCCTGCCACCACGGAGCCAAGAGAACACGATTCCTGTCACCACAGTGTCAGGGGATGACGACTCCTGTCACTGCGGTGTCAGGGGATGACGACTCCTGTCACTGCGGTGTCAGGGGATGACGACTCCTGTCACTGCGGCGTCAGGAGATGACGACTCCTGTCACTGCGGTGTCAGGGGATGACGACTCCTGTCATTGCAGTGTCATGGGACGACGACTCCTGTCACTGCGGTGTCAGGGGATGGCGACTCCTGTCTCCACAGTGTCGGGTGACCTCTCGCTCGCAGAGCTGCCGCTGTGCCGGGGCTCGCGGGGAGGGGTTACCGGTTAGGAAAGGTCCACTTCGTAACGCTCCGACGATAGCCGGTTGTTGTTGATAGCCATTGTCGGAAGTTGGGGAGCGACTGTTGGGAAGTTTGGGCATAACTGTTGGGGAGTTGGGGCACGACTGTTAGGGAGCCGTGATGAGACTGTTTGGAGCGAAGTATTCTCCGCTACTACGCCTACTGCTACTGCAACTCATGCCATCCACCAGACCCCCATCGATGATGACGTCAAGTGACCGAGTTGGTTGGATGGAAGGGTTTGGAATGGCAACGCTGGATTTGATAGATTCTCCGCGAAACATATAATGGATTAAGTGGTCACCAGGGGTCGCAGCGGTAAGGCTGTTTTGTTAAGTTTAAGCCAGTGCGCCAGTATGGACCATGTGATACTCCCATTCCCAAAGCCAAAGTGCGCCTCGAATAGGGCCAGTGTGGTCAATGTCATTGGGGACAAACCGAAGCCATAGGATAACATTTCGTTGAACTCGCGGTGTAGTATTTTGGCAAATTAGGGTGTTGTTAACATTAAGGAACAAACACGTTGGAAAAAGCAAGGCAAATGGCGTGTATCAGTTTTATAGTGGTGGGCAGGGAGTCAAATGAGGTCTCTTTCGCAGGAGCGTCCGCTTCAGATCGAAATTCTGAACTATTTAGTTGGATTTCGAGAGAACTGGTGTTCCTGATGAAATGGCACACCTCTCATCTGACAAGTCAAAAGTATAAAAAGGTTGTATGCTCCCTTAAACTGTTCGCACATTGTGATGGATTATCTTTCATATTACGGTGTTCTGATCCACTACCTCGTATCTCCATAGCTACCAGACTGCGAATGGCACACACGCCTCCGAATCTGGCCAGGCCGTGGCCGCCTACGGAGATGAGCAGAGCTACACCGTCGAGGGCCAGTACAACTAGGCCAGTGGCGACGGCGTCAGCTACACGGTGACGTACGCTGCCCACGCTAGCGGCTTCCAGCTGCCGGATGACCACCCGTCCCACCCCCAGGTCCACCGAGTACCCGACCCCGGAGGTACCGGCGACCCAGGCCATCTACCACGCGGCTCCTCTCCGCAGCTTCCAGGCGGTCCCTGTCCCCAGCTACCAGGCGGCCCATGCCCCCAGCTTTCAGGCGGCCCCTGTTCCCAACTATCAGACGGCCCCTGTTCCCAACTACCAGGCGGCTCCTCTCCCCAGCTACCAGGCGGCTCCTGTCTCCAGGTTCCAGGTTGCCCCTGTCCACAACTACCAGGCGGCTCCTGCCCCCAGGTTCCGGGCGGCTCCTCTCCCCAGCTATCAGGCGGCTCCTGTCCTCAGGTTCCAGGCGGCCCCTGTCCCCAGCTTCCAGGCGGTCTCTGTCCCCAGCTTCCAGGCGGTCTTTGTCCCCAACTACCAGGCGGCTCCTCTCCCCAACTACTAGGCGGCTCCTGTCCCCAGCTTCCAGGCGGTCTCTGTCCCCAACTACCAGGCAGCTCCTCTCCCCAACTACCAGGCGGCTCCTCTCCCCAGCTATCAGGTGGCTCCCGTCCCCAGCTTCCAGGCGGCTCCTCTCCCCAACTACCAGGCGGCTCCTCTCAACAGCTACCAGGCGGCTCCTGTCCCCAGGTTCCAGGCTGCCCCTGTCCCCAACTACCAGGCGGCTCTTCTCCCCAGCTATCAGGCGGCTCCTGTCCCCAGCCTCCAAGCGGCCCCTGTCCCCAGCTACTGGTTGTTGGAGATGAAGGCAGCATGATGCGATACATCCCGAGTACGCTATATGAACTGCCACTGGCCGTCGGTTTGCGGTGCTGGGGGAGCTCTGGGTCCAGAGACTGGCGGGTATTTCTCCCGCGAGGGGAGGGGGGGGGGGCAATACCTGTAGAGGAAAGCTTTCAAAAATAGTTGCTATCCCTTGGTGACCGTGATCAAATGTCTTGAAAAGAACCAAACCCAGCCTTGACTTAATCAACTATGTAAGCCAATATTGGCTGTCAAAATTAACAACAAAGATGAGGTACATTACTGAATGATTACCGGCCCACTACAGCACTCACCCTTGGTTCTTCACTGGACGAATCTCAGTAGACATGTACAGGCTAGGGGTTGAGAAACACTCTGCTGTCATTACATGGCTTATATCAAGGCACATTCTGCCCTCATATCCCAGTTCCATAGCTTGACTAAGAGAAAAACAACTCTAGAATAGCTTCCGCACGTATCAACGCATCTCAGAACAAACCAACACAACATACTAAGACCCATGGTAATCCGAATGGAACAGCGCTGCGCAGTCTACGCACACACACACACACACACACATATATATATATATATATATATATATATATATATATATATATATATATATATATATATGTGTGTGTGTGTGTGTGTGTGTGTGTGTGTGTGTGTATTGTGCGCCTCAAGGCGCGCTTTCGACTGACATCACGCGTCGTCAGCAGCCTGTGGGTAAAAAGTCTTCATAGGTTTGGTAGAAAGATGCCTTTCTTTAAAAAACAAACCGTGCGAGATAGATAATTATTTGCTGGCCATCCCAGTAAGGTAAATTTGGGAAAACCGACAGGTAACTCAATTAAAAGTTGATTGCCGGAGCCTTTTGCTCTGCGCACTGACGTAAATTACATACTCCTCTTAAGTCGCCAGATATCATCTGCAGATCACGGAAGGCCGACACGATCGGGTTGCCGAGCCACGTGACTGGTAGGGTTTTGATCCTTGCTACATTTGTTGCCTGTGCTTTGTTGTCCATCCTTCACAAAGGTGTCTGATGGCCAAGCAGCCCAGGAATGCAGTGTAAATCCTGCAGGAAAGCATGCTTGAGACTGAAAAGGGAGATAACTTAGTTGGTGTGGATTTCTAATAAGGTTTTCGGATTTCATGACACTGAGAAACAGCTGTTTGTCGCGGTAGCTGGAGATTAGCGATGACTGTTGTCCGTCGCGGTAGCTAGGACCAACAACGGTAGCTGTGGTTCGTCGCGGTAGTTCATATATGCACGCCTGAAGGGCGTTAGCGCCACAAGCTAACTGAGTACTGACGATAACCATACACTGGGCATGATCTGTTACCCGTGCCTATTTCCTCGGCTGTCAGTGGCTCCCTGTGCACTCATTGGGTCACGCCACAGGGGCCCGCTTGCCACGGACAGGATCTACCCCAGCAAAAAAAAAACAAACAAAAACGCACGCACAAAAAACTCCGATGTCTTAGGGGCCGGTCCCACACGGCAATGTTCCGACTGTCGCAAAGTCCCGTGGTGGCAAGGACCACCTCGCTCTGCTGTCATTTATTTTCGATCGCGCACGCTGCCGCACTGGCCTCGGCGCGTCGCGGCCACAATGTAACCTCTCGACCGGTCGCATCCAGCTTGCTTTTAAGACCCACGACCATTGGCAATCAATGTCGCCATCGTAAAGGATCGGTGCCGACGCTGGCCGCAGCACGACACTTCCGGCCCCGGGGACGTTCAGATCACCGCCAAAGGCGCGCGATAGATGGCGCTGGTGAGCGCAGTGACATTGCTCAAGATGCGCGATAGATGACGCTGGTGAGCGCAGTGACAATGCTCAAGATGCTCAATAGATGGCGCTGATGAGCCCGGTGCCGATGCTAACGTAAGCGATAGATGGCGCTGGCGAGCGCTGTGCCGCTGCTAAAGACGGCGGATGCCGTGACAATCGACTTATGGCATCCAGGCATTCTCGCCGGCTGGGTGGCGCAAGATGAAGCAGTCGACGCACCGAAAACCCCACAATCGGTCAACAGGCTGGTTGGCAGGAGCGGTCATGGAAGAGAAGCTGCATCCTAGGTCCGGCATAGCAGGTGGCCGTGGAGAATTCCGCACCGACCAGCGTTCCTGACATCGCAAGCCATCACTGGTCTACACGTCAGGCACTTACACGACCGCGCCACACAGTTATCGCTACTACACTTGGTTTCTGGCGGTACACATTCACGCCGTTTCAGGCGATAACAATGCCTACTTCAAACACGTCTGCATGGTAAAAAGGGTCAAAAAGGTGTACATGAGATAAAGCATCAAGCCTCGTTTTTAACAGTGATCTCCTTCCAGCGTCACCAACACAAGGGTGGGTCACAGATGGAATAATTGTTCGGACTATGGTCCCGTGCAGGAATAAGTTTAGACGACACTTCGAACAATTACTTCATCTGTGATACGATACCTACACTCAATCCTTCCGTTGAACGGAAGCGGACGCTCACATATGAACCTAAGTAAATATGCACACTACAAATGATCACTGATAAGGACAACACGTTCGCAGATGACAGTACACAACATCACCATCAGACGCTTCTGCTCTACCCTGACAGGACACAGCGTCCGAATGCTGCACCGTACCCCGGCCGTCCCCGGCGGCGCATCACAACTCGTCGCGTGCAGGCGTCTCCGGCGCCGGCGCCGGCGCCTCGCCGTCCTGTAGGCAGGCGTCCTCGCCCGCCGCTAGCACGTGCTGCGAGCACAGGTACGCGGGCAGCGGCACCGCCTCCTGGTACTGGTGGTACCACTGGGTGATCACCTCCTCGTACTCCTCGATGAGTGCGTCACACTGCCGGTGGTGACACGACATAAGCCGTCAGCAGGTCATGGGGGTGCGAGGCCCGGCGTTCGCACGCGGGACGGTCACCCCTGGTCAGCGCCAGGCTCGGAGGGGGGGGGGGGGGGCTCCCGGCTAGCGGGCGGCAGTCGAAGACTGATGACGATTGGGGGGAGGGGGAATGTCTGCAAGTTTACTTAGCCTGCGCAATTCCCGTTTCTTCGGATGCGTATTGAAAGGTCCAGAGTTCATAAAGTCAAGTGGTCAAAAAGTCCAGAATCGCGGCATCCGGCTTTCATAACGTTCATGTATCGTCCAAAACCCCTGCACAGAGAAGAATCATAAAGTCCAATGTTCACAAAGTACGGTGTTCATAATGTCCAGCGTGCGTGAGATCCACGGGTTGGGATACAGTCTACTTCCTCGCAATCCTTCACCTAATCGTTGAGATATTGCCCGATAGAAGGCTACCTGAGCCGATTTCGCCCGCCTCAGCCGACGAGTGACGTCATGCGGTACAGTGCTGCCCAGTTAAACCCCTATGCATGGATATGGACACGTTTTATTCGAGCGCACCAACTTTGCCGCGTCAGCACGCCCTTGACAGCAGGCGCATTAAAGATATCAAAACTCTGATCCCTGGCTCGTGGCATCGAAAATAGCTGGTTACTCGGCAGTCGCTGCACGGTAATCGTGGAAAGCACTTGCCGGGGTGCCTGCTGTTTGGTATTGTGGGCTACGGATAACATTCTCCGCGGTATTTGGTCCCGTTATCTACTCTATGTGTTGGTGATGTTTCTCAGTTTTTTTAAGGAATTGATGGCTGATGTGTAAGGCGGGTGATATGATGTCTGCTCCAGGTAGGGCGCGCATATAGATCTCCAGCTCCTGGCACGCTAACCTATATTGTTAGTGATTTTATTTCAGTGCTATGCTTAGCACTAGCACGCGTCATATTCGCCGAGGCCAGCGCGCGTGACATCTACATGCAATGCGTTTTTGTAAAAGGAATATCTATATGTGGCATGTAATTTTAACACTAGATTCATGGGCACTCATCAAATTCATTCATCGGCCCATTCTACGCAAAAATTCCGCTATCTTGAACTGAAATCGCACGCACTGTATTTCAGCCCCCCGGGGTTCACCACCCACTAGCCCCATAACGGCAGGCCAACCCCGCATCCGCCCTGCCAACGCTCTCACTGAGGCTACAGGATGCGTATTCCGTCCCACGGTACTGCGAGTTCGTCTAGCCCGCCGTATGTCATTTCCATCCAAGGTTGTTGCTGTTGTTGCATGTTGTACTCTTTTACACATTATTTCTAAGCACTTCCGACTAAAGTTCTTCGGGATCAATCACTGGTGAATGGGCAGTCCCATCTGTCCCTCAGGGGCTGCCTGGAAGCGCATTTCAGCAATAATTTTGTGGCTCTGGTGCAAACCAACGCCATTTCCCAGCTGAAAATGTTTCACTGAATGCGCTGGGTCAAAAAAATCTGCTTGTGGAAATATTTGTGTTTAAACCGGCACGCAAAGAACAGCGTTTTCACACCGCCATAGCGTTCGTGCCATATGACTTAGCCCCATGCTGACGCCGCAGCATCGCTATCCAGCAAGCAGTAATGCGAGGGCTTGTTCACAAACGTACTACAATATCGACTTTGTCCAAAATTGTCATTCCAGAAAATGTCGAATGAAGAATGGGATGTTGAGAACTTTAAGTGAAACCAGGCCATGCAATATGACAATCTGTTTCACCTTTGTATCTTGAGCTTCAACGACCAGTGAGAAGAAGCGAAAGCTGTAATCAGATTTATCCACAAAGCATCCGAAAAGTTCATCAATGCTAAGACCGATGTGATGTTGAACAAAACATGCATAAAGAACGATCTTCTTTGCGTGTGCTTATTTATATGTATCTAACCATATATATAAGTCCATTTTGCTAATCCATGGCCATGCGGTTAAGTCAGACTTCGCGTCAGGTAATGGTCCAGAATCGACGAAGACGAATGGCAATTGTAGGTTAGGTCGATGGTATTTGTTATGTAAAATTAGCTTCCTTGCGTGTCCCGATCATTAACGACAGTCTCATGGCAGGGCAATGCGAATACACCTTTAATAAGGATTTTGTCTCAAAAACACTGTCACGCCAAATGCTCACATGCATCATATATGTTTTCGTGATTGACGGCGACAAGCTATTTAGATGCCTCTTTCGGTGAAAATGTCAGCATATCGTGCAATTTTCTGTTTCTTGTGAAGCTTGTCTAGCCTCCGGAACATCTGGCCGAATTATGACCAGAGTGACATAACGGGAGAGCTTTGGCACCCACAGATCGGAGTGCAAACGTGTGGACTCATGAAATATTACGCTCAGGAAATATGTGGCTGATAATAATATCCCTTCTGCACATGTGTTGTACGTGTGTTTAAGTACCTATGCTCGCTGCATATCTTAGCCATCGCCCTGATTCGCAGTTTTGCATAATTCGGACTGCTAAGGGGAGTGGGGGGGGGGGGGGGGGGTTAATGCGTCCCTCCCCCGGCATTTCCAAGCTTGTAAAGACAGAGCCTGCCGACAACATCAGCATATCGTTCTGAACGCTATCTCACGATTGGTACTAGCTTTTATGCTAAGGGCACCAAAGTCCAGCGCCATTACAATTGGTGTGGCTTTCGCGTCGGAAAAATTCTGAGTCGGACCGTTCAGGGAAGGGGCGCCGTGTTCAGGGAAACAGGCACCAACAGCCTCCGTTGGCATGGGGTCTTCACGATCAGTCGTCACAATGCCCGTGCCAATGCCTCTCCATTAACAAAATCTGCATCGGCCCCTTCGGCCAATCGACACCTTTTTCGGACAACCACTGCATTTATTTCTTGGAACACCAAATGCAAGTGGGCGATTGAAATAACAATTGAAGGTGGTTCAAAACTTCCCTTTCAAGGGGCACCGAAATACAACGGCACCACGATTGCCCTGCCGTACATTGTTGAAATCCTGGTTCGGCTCCTACGGTGAATATGCAGCGAGAACCTTGATTGGCGGAGGCATCATAACGTTTATTTTTTATGAGCCCCCAATTTAAATTGTAACACCACAATCAGCCCAAACACTTAGTTTAAAGCGATGCAAGATTCCAGGGGCACTTAAAATAACCCCTAAAGCTTTATTTTCACCGGGAACCGAATTAAGCAGGACCCCCCCCCCCCCCCCTCCCTCTTAGGCTCCATACGTCCCATGGGTTCCGAAGGTCCTTTTTTGATCCCTTGGGGCCGAAGATCAGAGCCCGATGAAAGGGTTCGAGGGGCAGGCCAGAGATCATATGGAGGGATCACAGCCTGAAGGCCGGACCCTAAAATGTAGGAGTAGCTCTAGCACTGATTGGAGACCCGTGCGACTGTGGCTCCTATTTGAAGCAACTGGCTGAGAACAGCCATACCGAACAGTCCGTTCTGTGCTATTCTGGGGCCTAGGGGTTATTTCTCGAGCAGAGACAAGGCCAAGATCTCTAAAAGTCAATTAGAGGGTATCCTTCATTCGTCGGGACACCTGAAACAATAAAGGACCCACATTGCTGGTCAGTGACCACAGTCCCTAGCAGGAGACCATGCGTCGGCGTTGAGCCCCGGGTCGGACAAGAGCACATTTGCTGGATAGGGACGATGATGGGCCCCCCATATGTCAAAGGGTGTTTTGTGCTGGTCTGAACCCTCCTGACAATGAAAGGATTCAAGAGAAATGTTAAAAGCGGGTTCTCATGTACAGTGAGACAGTGGAGAAGCCTGTGCCAGCCAGGAACACCAGAACCGGACGAGGGATCCTCTGCATCATTTCAACTAGGGACCGATAAGGCGAATTAGTGCCTCGATACCAATTATTGGACTTCCTGTGCCAGTAAATAGTCTGTTTGCGTTAGAGAGGGCCCCTGCGCCGATCCGTTGCTGAATGTCTCAGCTACAGGGCCAGCCGCATCGAGGAGGGAGCCGGTTGTGGTGCATCGTTTTGAGGGTCTCCGTATGGTCCTGGGGTTATCACTAGACTAAATGCCTCTGGGGACCCCAGATGAGACGTAATTCCTTCAGCTGCTGACCAGAACGTTTTACCAATGCAATTTACCTGGCTTACCAGTTGATTCTCTGAACGGGTTTAGCAGTTGCAGCATTACGAGCAAGAGAGATTACGTCATTGCGTCTCCCCATTGCGCCTTCCCGTAATCCGTCCCGACTACCAATCTAAAAATTGCACTAGAGAAACATCCGGCAAGGGGACACCTTTTACACGCATACCCGCTGACTTCAAAAAGCGTTGGGAAGTACCGATTTCGATACGTGGTCATTTCCACCGGTCTCTTGACGGCTGCCAGGTGTTGCTGCAAGGTTCCGTATGCTACAATGGCGTAACTACGACATTTTTGTTCCGACGTCTCATAGAGCAGCGCACGGAGGGGCACCAAGGAATCACGTACAGCCCGACCACAATACTCTTCTCGCGCGCCGAGCGCTTACACAAAGCACTGCAACTTTTATCATCTACACACAAAACAATTAAACTCAACATTCTGGATGCACTACTCATTCATGACCACAAACGATTTCTAAGCAATGAAATGAATGAAACTACTGAATTATCTCTTAGGAGCAGCATCAAAAATAAAGTCAATTGGACACTGACGACTGACGACTGACTGACGACACTGACGAATGGCGCGGGTATTGGGTGATGGGCATGAAGTGTTGTGATTTGCTATGTTCATTGTGTTATTCACAGTGTGTGGTGCTAATGATGTCTTCTGCACGGTTAAATAATCGTTTTTTGTTGCCAAGTTAAAGCGACAGCGAGTGCTGTCCAGTGAAAAGTTTATTGCTGGTTTGCATGCTCGTGTTTTATGCTCTGATTTGAAGTGTTTAAGGTGTCCAAATGAAATGAAGAGCGAGATATATAGAAGAGTCAGTCAGCAGTCATATACCGTGCAAGTTTTGCAAGCTTCGTGTGTCCGTCGTCAGAAAAGCATATACATATATATATATATATATATATATATATATATATATATATATATATACATACATGTATATATATGCATGTATGTATACATCATCAATAAACGCTCTGTGCGATCCGGGCAAAAGCAGCGGCCAGAGTTAACACGACACCATATCGGAGTGATCGGAAGCAGCAAACTTCACGGCACCTAAATCTTCCCACATGTACACTGCGAAAGTGCTATAAAACTGGAGAAGGCCTCTTACTTTGTGAGCTCCCTAGAATTCTGGTTTCTAGACACCAAAAATCCTAGTATTCCGGTCATTAAGGTTTAATATTCCTATCTATGCAGTTTGGATACGAGAGCCTAGCTTACTGCGCACAGCTCTAGAAAACTAGGCGTGCTTCGTACACAAATACATGTCGTTTTTTAGTTCATTTTCGTCAGACCATGATGGACCCTGTCATTTTAAGGGTAAGTAATTCAAAGAAAACATGGCAACATGCACTTAAATTGACTGTTAAATGCCATCAAAATCAAGCATAAGCTTAATTCCCAACTTCTACAAGGTTAGCGGGGCTGTTGATAAGATCAGCTGATCGCTGGGGACTGATACAAAGTTTTTGCTTTGTTTGTTGCAAGCGAATACAGAACATCCTATCGTTCAAAAGGTATCAAAACGTAACGTACCAGTATAATAATCGTCACAAATTCAATAAACAACGGAAATAAGATGCACGACGTCGGCGGCGTGTAAAGCTGTGTTCGACAATGACAAGAACGAATTCATCAGCGTAATCGACATAGCCGCACATTCAGTCATCGGTCGGTAAGTAGTAAACCCCCAATAAAAATGCTTAAGATTTAGGTCCTCGTCAGCGGCGTAGCCCCTCCTACAACATGGAAAAACCTGAGACTAATAATGACGGCAACTGGGCAATCGAAACTGCCGTGACAGGCCAACAAAGAAGCTCCAGTGAACAGTGAATGGTCCTCATAACAAGCCAGAAGAACCTTACACCAATATGGTGGGACCCCTGAACGATCGGGAGCACCCCGGTAGGCTAACATATAGGGTCTGGCCGGAGTACAGGATCCCCTGAACAAAGGGCAATAGCTGAATATCAGTGTATATCAATTAACGCCCCTGTGTGATCAAGAATGCCGGGGCAGGTAAACAGGGAAGAGCCCTGACAAGTGAAGTGAAGTGAAGGGTCCTCAGCAAATAAGCTAAAAAAGGGAAAGAGCCATGGGTCAATAAAGAGGGCCCCTGAGCATGGAGTGCCTCGGAGCGTTACCTTATATGGGGCCCAGCAACAGCACGGTCTCTCCAAGCAAGTGGAATGAACCCGATACCAAAATGGATCCCTGAGCAACCGAGTGTGCCCCGGCATTTGGGGCCCAGGCAGCAGCGGCGGGGACGGGAGAGCCCGCTTACCCCGCGGGCGCAGCGGTCCCTGCCGAGCCCACGCCGCCCGCCATGTCTCCGGCCGCGCCGCCGCTCGGCGCGTCTGCGCCCAGTCCGCCGGTGAGCCCCGGGGCGCGGGCGCGTCCAGGCAGGACAAGACCGCCAGGCGTCTAGGTAATTTATAGTAACCATGCTTGACTGTACCCATTACGAGATCACCAGTGGAATGCCAGGTTGACTGTGCCATCTGTTGAAAAAGAGGGAAATAGCGGCAAGACTCAGAGATGCTTCTGTAGTGTTATCTAGCGGCAGAAATCCAAACTAGCCTGGTTGCCGTGGATACTGAACGTTTTGAACACTGGACTTTACGACTATGGACTTCGCGACTCTGGACGTTGCGTCCCTGTACCTTATGAACGCCCCCGATGGGCACAGAATTGGACGTTTTCTGGACTTGATGAACGCTGGATGCTGCGATCCTGGACGCTATGAACGCTGGACGCTGCGATCCGGAACGTTTTAATGCCTCCCCGTTTCTTTTCTCCCGCAACACAACTTCTCGCTAACCTAAGCTCGTGACATCGAAGCACATGCGGGCACGCTACCGATGAGTAAGAACTGCGGACACCAGCCGGTACGAAGAAGTCCCAGGCATGTGACAGCAGCAGGGGCCCGCCCCGAAGTTCACATCGCACTTACTTTGTTTTTCAGGTCAGTGACCTCTGCGCTCGGCTTGTCCCACAGTTCGTGCGGTATTCCCAGGTCCACCTTCACACCTTTGTCACTGCAATACACACAGTCATCGTCAAAGCCATCAATAGCAATGCTACTAACATACATCAAGCATTGGGGTACGCGAGCGCAACAGGCTAAGTCGGGCAACAGGCTAGCACGGCGTAAATTAAGGTTCTGAGAGAAAATCCAAGAACCATCTAAAAATCCATCTATGGCCAAATAAAACCACATGAGGGGAGGGGGATCAATGGCGTCAGCTATCACGTAGGGTAACTAGCTCGTGTGGGGATTCAGTAATGGCAATTAACTCACAAACCGACATATGCATATCAAGCCCAGATACCGAGCGCACCTGATAGCCCCCCCCCCCCCCCCGATAGTTCTGTAGTCCCAAAATAAGGCAATCAGATGTTTTCATCCCACGATGTGTCGTTCCAGTCATTCGGAGAACTTACACGAGGTTATGCAGTGTCTGGAAGGTCTGGCTTCGACCCTTGGCGAAGCGAGTGCTATCCGTCCGTTCCTTGTGGATGTTGTAGGTCAGGATGCCCTCGCAGATATCCTCAAGAACCTCCAACAGCCGCAGCTCTCTGCCAATAACATGTGTTTCAGCGCAAGCCAGTCAGTAGTTTTGTACTGCTATAATTTTGTGTTTGACACAGGCGCTTGTACAGCCAATGCCAGCATATTCCTGAAATTCCTAAAAAGACATTTACTGTATGACACAGAAGTCATTTGTAGGAGTACATGGTAGAAAACATGAAATAACACCACCTTATGGCTTAGATTATATCTGAAGGTCAAAGTGCTAGATTGGGAACTTGGCAAAGCGCTCCTAACTTTCATGCTACTTTGGTGGCATCCAAAGCTGTCCCGTGTCACCAACTAGCTCACATCATATTGTAAAGCTAACCTAATGTATGATGCAGAGTCACACACAGCAGTGGGCATGTACAGTTTGCCACAGTCTGACCAGGAGAAACTACCCACACCAGCTATCACCTCAACAAGTCCAGACTGTAACTCACGATTTCCTGTATTTGGTGGTTGTCTTGGACTTATCAGCATCCAGGTGATAGCCAGTCTGTATGACATCATGTGACCTGCCAGTCTTCTGAAGCTGAAGCTCTAATTCTGCTGATACTATCTTGCATGCTGAAAGGACAGTGCCCTCAAAATGTGAAGCAGTGTTAACCAAACACAGCACATTGCACTGCTTATTTGCTGACTTTGCCCCATCTGCAGATGTGACCAATTTTAAAAAGCAGTAGCTATGACCCTGGATATGCAGGTATACCAGCATAAACATCTCAAGGTTTGACATGTTTTGGCTTTACAAAAATATACACACAGCATATATTAAAAGCTCAACATGGATTTTGTAGGTAAAAAACTAATACATATATACACTACCTTCACATTTTGAGGCATATTTTACTCCATACTTTTCTTCAGCTAGGTCAGTATCACTAGAAGCAGCAACTAAATGACACATACATCCAACCAATACTAGAACACAAGGCAACCTTGCCATTTCCTTCAGGTATGCAGTGCCTGAAAAGAACACAAGTCATAGAGCCTGTACACAAATAACAAATATAGATTCAGATTCTGTTGTTATTGGGGGTTAATGGCACAACCAACAGCTTCATTCACTTGGGTGCACAAATAAAAAGTGTGGAGTCAGATTCTGTTGTTTGAGGGGTTTGACGACACAGCCAACAGTTCCGTTCATCTGGCATCCATATCTCCCACTCCAACTTCTGTGGGCACTGATGAACTATTCGATGGAAATCAGGCTCAACCCCAAACACATTACAGTTGTGAGATGAGCCAGCCCTCTCCGAACTGAACTATACTGATGAGCCCTCTCCAAACTGAACTATACTGGACACATTTTACATCATTTAACATGAATAAACATGCATGTACTCCCAAATCTGTGATATGGTAAGATATATGCCATCAGAGCTATGCCTACCATTCAGAACTCAAATATATTCTTTTATCAGGAAGTGGAAAAAGCATATCCAATCTGCTGGAAGATTTAGCAAAAGACACACAATCCTCCTCTTAGGTTTTATTAAGACCTATTACACACACATGGTACTGCCATTTGCCAGGGAAGCAATGAATGTCATAGGACCAGCTTGTCACTCAATAAACCTTGATGATATTACTGGCACTCCACTGACTCAATATCACTGAATGTCCAATATGAATTGTACAGATGTTTCAAAAACAATATAGATCTGTCAGCATAACGTCTTCTACCCATGTCTTACTTCTTATTCCTTCTGAAGTAAAACAGGTAAATAACACACAGTTAATGTGTTCATAGTCCTAAAAGAGATTGAAAAAGATGTGAGCCCTTCTGCATCTGCAACATGGCTTTCTAAGCCACTACAATTGGAACTGATTGCAATGGGAAGTGTGGTTTAGAGGAATATGGCCATGGTCATGTAGTATAAGATGCTTGATTGGGTTCCAGATACAGCCAGCCACTGCTATCTCCAGTGCACTGTTGGTATAGCTCAGCTGTGCATGTGACTGCATGTCAGTCCACAAAATGACATCCACTGTGCTGGACACCTAAACAGCATTGGTGCACTGAGCCCTGCACTGCCACGCACAAAGCTGTTTTTGCCCAAAATTATCTTTGCAACATAATGATTCCCTGAAACACTGACATTCTGCAAGCTGACACTGGCATTAACTTGTGCAAAACTCTGAGGTCAGATTTAGGATGTACATTGTACATCCACCAAAATTGTATGGCCGTGCCACTGCTACACTGAGCATGCTTCACAAATGTTTGGCCAACTGGACTGTGCAGCCACCAGTGTTATTTGCATTGGTTTATTTTAGCTAACATGTGTGGACCACATATACATTTTATGGGCATGATCCACTTAACTTCTTAGTATGATCATTAACTGATATATTTTTCACATATACCATCAATGGTTTATCTATGTTCATTTTTCAATGTCTTTCTTATTTAACTGCACTCAGCACAGCAATATCCATAACATTTAATGCATGGCTAGATCATGAAGCATGTATGCTACATCAAGCATGCCTGGTGTTACAGATGTCACTGCAAAACAAATTCAGTGCATATGCATCATAAATCCAAGACACCAGACCTTTGTTACAGTTACCATGAATTTTAGTGAATACACAGCCAGCATTTCAAGATATCATTTATTGAGAAGGTAAATTTGGAAACAGTATTCTACTCTTTTCCCTAACATCCAATTTTGATAATGCAGCTCAATCTGGCCTGGCCTGAGTTAGATGCACACAAGTACCAGGTCCAGCACACTAATATTGTGAGGCTTAATGCATGGGAGAGAGCCATGTGTGCATGTATGTGCACAGGGCAATGTGGCAAGAAGGTTGCATGCAATTATAGACATTTTTCCATTGGGAGGACTATACCTGAAGCTCCATCTAGCAAATGAAAATGCTGGATGGCTACACCATACACAACATTAAGCATGTAAAACTGCAAATATTTCTGCTTGAAAAACATATAAAATTGGTTTTGCCATGTTCTTAAAGTTGAACAGACGTGGTCGAAATCCGAACAGTTAGCTGAACAGTTCCCAAACTGTGGGCACCCCATCCTCGATGTGGTTCCTGCGTTATATGACTGTTTACTGAGCAGTTCCAAAAATCATTTCATAAATGCTTTCCCCCATCATATACAGCTTGGCCATGAATAGCACCATATACTCCCCCATACTCTGGGACAGACGTCCTCCCCGCCTTCTCTCCAATACAGGCAACACGGCACGATACAAACAATCCGGGTAAAACCGGCAAAACAGGAAAGCGATTCTGGCGCGGCTGCGGCAGGCCTGCTATGGCTGCACTCGCTGCACCTCTAAACTGCTGCAAAATAATTCGCCTTAAGTACGTTCAGCTATTTCACACGCGTTATTTATATTTAGTATTGTAAACGTGCGTAGATAAAGGTATGTTGCACTTAAAACTCAATCCCTTTAATATTTCCGTATCTAAAGGGCCCATAACGGGAGAGTTGGTCCCCAAGGGTCTGTTATGGGCCAGAACATCTGTCTGTTGTACTACAGGTGCCGGTAGCATTTTTGTTCGCTTCGGTTGTCACGTTGGTCAGAGCGTCTGCCTTCGGAATTCGGATTCACCCGCCCGTGCTGCGGTGGATTCGAATGTTCTTATGCGCTCTCTATTTGCTGGCTGGTATGGCCGGTGGCAGCGGCCACGCTAAAGATCAGGTGATGTCAGGATGTAGGATCGACATTGTCACGAGCTTTCGCCACATAGTTCTCCGGCTGACCTGAATTTTACGATGGGATAGTAGCGTCAGCTGTCACGCGACAGTACTGCCAGGGGCACAGGAGGGGGAGGGGAGCAGGGGTTACGTGCTTCCCACTTAGGTGCCGACTGGCTGGCCGACTGTCGGGGTTTCGGACCGCATGGCCGGGTCCTCAAATGTCAGTCAGTGTCTCTTGCTCTGATCAAGGGTCCTTGGGACAAAGTGGGCCTTTCTGTCGCTCAGAGACCACTTACACCGAACAGTTGGCCTCCTGTCTGCCTGGGTCATGAACCCATTTCTCAAGCAGGGACGAGGCCCGGGGACCGCGATTTACATCGGCCGAGCCCCTGAGACAATGAGGTGCCGCGGCTGTCGGACAGGAGCCCACAGTGCCTAAAAGGGGTTTTTTGTTTGAAAAGAGCCCATTGCCGGCCAGGGGCAATTTTCTGAACAGGGATAGTGACAGAACCCCAAAGTTCAGAGAGCTTCTGGCGTTAGACAAGGTCCTCTGCGAATGAAGCAAGGAATTACAACTCACAGTGATGGAGTTCATGATAGGACAACAGAAAGGCCCTGTGTCACTGAGTGATCTCAGCCCCGAAGGGAGGAGGCTCCGACCGGCATTTCAGCTGGGGGCCCAATGAGCCGTACTACAATCACCGTGCTAATTATTGGACCCCCACACCATGCATACATACTTTTGCGTCAGTGAGGGTCCTTGCGTCAGTCCAGGTCCAACTGCCTCGGCCAGGGGGTCTTTCACGTCAGTGAGGGGGCGGATATATCTTGTGTCGCTATCAGGACCTCCGGATGGACCAGGGGCACCGTAACCAGACTCATCAGAATAGCAGCTGGTAGATAACCCGGATTTGGTAATGGACCTCCCAGTGTTCTAGTCATGTCCCTCTCCTGCCCAGGAGAGGGTAAGTGGTCTCCTTAATGTTCGACGATGTAGATCGGCAACGGTAAATTATTTGATTTGACATTATGACCATTTCGCATAGGTGCAGTGCTTGTTCAGTGTAAGACATGACAAGTATTAACAAGGAATTACGATTACCTTCTTAAATGATAATATGCGTGATCTTCGTTACGTAAGTTGCATTTTTGATGAATTTTCGGTCGCGGACCTTGCTCACAGTCAAAATCTAAATGAATTGAATGGATGAAATGAAATTCAACTTGACATTTTGACGCTGTAAGCAAGATCCGCGACCGAAGAAACATCAAAAACATCACTTACGATATCACGTGTATCGTTATTGTAAGGATGCTTGGTGGGACGAACGCTTGTTTTGATAGTCATCCGAGGATGCCCGTCCTTTTCTAAGGCGACGGGTGAAAAATGTGTATAAAATCGGGTTGAACATGCGCGCTCGCAAACTTTAGAAGCAAAAACACCGCTACCCGGCGCCTCAATTTCCGTCGAAACAAACAAGACGGGCTGCAGCAGCTGACGCCTCGCGCCGGGCGCCGGGTGCGTGAGGGTGACTACGTGTTGTGAAATAGTGCCTCTGAAAGCCCTTTAAAATCAATGTGCACCGTTCGACGGTTAGACTGGGGCATGCATTTTACCTGTGCAAACTTAAGGCTGATCCTCTGAACAAATTAGCCGTAAGACCATTTGCCGTCGACGCGGGCTGGAACTTCGCCGAACGAATGAAAAGCCATATCAACACAAACAGTACAGATTCATCTATTATGCCAATAGTTTGTGAAGCTGTGAATGTTCCCATTATCGAACCGAAAATTGCGCTGGTGAAATTATACGGCGTACAATAATTTCCTCACCTGCGGATAATTTCATAAAGCGTTCAAAGGTATTATTTTTCGATGCGAGTTCGTTTCGTCGTGCCGTTGGCAGATATATCATGCTAGCCATGGTACCGCGCTACGCGGTCCATAACGTCAGTTTTACGCCTAAGTTGCCCAGTGCATTCGATTCAGTATCTTGATTACTTGCTCTGAATAGAACGTCTGTAGCACATGCCCAAGACTCGGTTGCTCACCGACATATCCAAGGATTCTGCACTGGCAGGGACGTCACTTTGTAGACCTTTGGGTAGCTTAAGCCCCCTCCCCTTCCCCAATGCTCTTCTGAGACTCTTCAATCCATGTCAGCAAAGAAGGAATACTGGGCCAAGTAAAAGCAGAACAACTATCGAACTATTGGTATGCAAGGTAGTAGGCGCCTTGACACGTCACTATTAGCATGGTGTTAGTTTTACACAAAATAGTATCAGGTATGTAT